ATGATTCTATGATTCTATGAATATTCCCCTATGAAGTCTCTTTCAAAAACAATTCAGTAGACTGCATATTAAAAACATACTTTCGTAAAGCAGGAATCTGTTTAGCTTTTCTTTATTTTTCCACTAATTCATTTCTGAACTGTATGTCCAAATTGTGTTTGATTCTGAACTGTATGTCCAAACCAACATAAAAATACTGAAGGGATTCAGAAACTGAAAGTGAAAAAGGGTTGTAAACTAAGCTGGAGAGTTAAACAAATGTCATTATTAAAGACTTCTAACATCCCAGTAGTTAGTCTAGTGTATTAAGTGTAGTGAATTGTAATATCACCTATTGAATGTAGTACAGGCAGTTAACTAAGAGCAATGTTGCATGTTTAGAAGAAATTTCTTGACTAATTTGTATTATAAAGAAGTGTATTCTATCATGAGTGATAGGAGCTCTCCATTTAGAATTAAAACTAAAAAACCAAAACCTCTTTGGACTAAGGGTAAATTGTCATTTTTGAGAAGCACACTCATTAGCAATTACTCAGTCCTTAATAGTTATTGCAAAAGTACCTGGCTTTATTCTCCAAGTAGTTTGCTCTTTTTATTCATTAGCTGACCTTATTCATTGTTTGAATGTCACAGGGGGTTTCTTGTTTGTTTTTCAGTTTTGATCAGCTCAAAATGGCTGTTGTGAACTTGAAGAAACAAGCCAATAAGAAAAATGAGGGGAGTCTAGCTTATGTGAAAGGAGGTCTCAGCACATTTTTTGAAGCACAAGATGCTCTGTCAGGTAAAGATGCTTTGCACTTACTAAATGCAGTATAAAAGAAAAGACAATATCTGCGTGTATGGTCGAATTTAATATTAAAAAATACTGGTTTTCTTTGCAGTCTCTTCTAAAAGTGTCTAATGAGCCCAAAATCTGTATTGTGTTGGTCACAAGCTGGGACCAGCTAGCTGATTGTTGTGGTGTATTTGCAAAAGATGGCACCAAATGTATCTTACAGGAATTGGAGGCATTTGATGAAACTGCTTAGACCACAAATCCAGAAAAGAGAGGAAATGTTAAACTGGAGATAATGTGAAGATGACTTACAAACTGTAGCAACATAAAAACTTGGGTTTATGATACCTTATCCCATAGTCAGACTGTAATAGTTATATGAATATTTAGTACATTCTGACTTGGGAAATCAGATGGCCTTTATATTCTGCTTACCATAGGGAAAATGCGACATGCTAGTGAGATTAGCTTAGTTGTCTGTGCCATATATCTTTTTTTTTTTTTTTTTAAATATAATATATAACTCTTAAAGCATAAAATGTCTCTCAGGTAAAAGCTCATTGTGAGCTACCATAGTCCTGTCTAGTTAGGGACTGTGCTGGATAAGAAAGTGACAGTGCTCGGCCATCCCCAATAGGTTTGACATTTCCCACTATGCTGTTCTCCATAGCTATTGTATATTGCAGGATTATCTCCTGGTTATGGGTACCATGGAGTAAGAAAACTCGTATTTACTCATAGCCTCAGCCAAACTAGCACTTCCATTGGCTTTAGGAACACTGCTTTGGAGAAGTACCAGTTTTCTCTTGACCCACTTGCAGGCCACTCACTAGCTGTCTGATAGCCACTTCCATGTGTCGGGGAAAAGAGAAAGTAGTACTGTCTCACCTGGTGGTCCACCTGTATTCCTGCCCCAGGCAGATTAACCTGTGACCTGCCCTTCAGATGACAGCATTTTCAAAAGTGGTTAATAGCTTTAGGCTACTTGCCTAATTTGGTAATTTTTAAGAGAACTTTTTCCACAAGTGCGAACATACGTGCCTTGGGAGGGAAGACTTCTTGAGACATCCGAAGATTCTTCCTGTGAAGAATCTTAATGCCTAAACATCTTTATTACCCCACCCAGAACTCTCCTATTACTGATCAGTTTTGGAAAACCTTGGCGTGAATCTAGATAGGTTCAATAACAGAAGAGAAGTATTAAAGGTTTTAGTGGAAATACTAAAGACTGTGGTGGTAGTCATAGGAAAAGAAACTGAGAACAATTAGTATTTGGCATTCTTTAACTTTTTTTAAAGTTAACTTTTAACTAAACTCAATTTAGTTTTTATTCAATTCTAGGAAAAATTATAATAGGCTATTTCTTTGGAAGTCTTAAATATCTTGAAAATATTGAAATTCTCATTTTTTTCTTAAATAGTTCAAAATCCTAAATAATCCTGAACAAATATTGAGATGTGACTTGTTTTTCAGAACCAAATCTGCTTTGCATATCGAGTATCAAATACTCTAAAAGATTCAGAGTTCTGTTTCCAAACAGTTACTGCTATGGATAAAAAGTAGTGCAGACAGACCTATGTGTTATCTTGTAAGATTATTTTTTGGACCAGCAAAGTCTTAGTAGGATTTACAGAAAGCTAATGCAAACCATAAATGTTGTGAGGTTTTAGAAAGACTGAACACAACTGATTGATATTTTTCCTCTTGTCCCATCTATTAAAGTGTATGCTTCTTGCCTTTGGAGACTGATTTCCTGATAAATGAAGAGTTCAGAGAGCTAGTCGCAATGTAAGAAATACTAACAAAATAATGACAGGGAAAGCAAACTCATTTATTTCGCTAAATACTGTGTTCTCAATTTAAAAAAATTATAATAGCTGTAATATTGTTTTGCATCTCTTATCTGTATCAGAGTGTTATTTTTACTTAAAATTAGAGTTTGTCAGTGCAGTCCTTTAGGTAAATTATGAACTCAAAACTTGGGATGACTCATGTGGTTCTTGGTGCCACTTTTCATCTGTAACCAAAATGGCTTGGTTCTGTCTTCCTCCTAGTGATCCTCCTTCAGTGCTCAAAAGGAAGCAGACTTGTAGCTTGTGTTATAAACAGTACTAAGGAGGAATGGCCTTGATGCTGTTGTAGAAGAAAATTAGAGCCTTGAAGTCTTAATCTCTTATAAATTCAAAGCTATAACACTGGAATTCAAGGGACTTATCAATACAATATTCAGTTTTTAAATTCTGAAACCATATCCTCAATGAGAGTGCGCAGGATTTTAATGTGCAACTCTCTGTTGAAATTTCCTATTAAATGCATGTGCAGAAGTATTTGTTATTCTTTTCAGTCAAAAAAAACCCCTTATTGCGTGTGAATTTTAGCTTTGTAATGCAGAACTAATTATTTGCCCTTTCTTCCCCCTCATGCAGAAAACTTTTGAGGGAGTGTAGCTGGAAAAATTGCATAGCTTTTGAAAGACTTGAACCTGTGATAGGTACAATCGACAGCTAAGTTGGATGTGGAGAGGCTTCCAGTAGCAGCAAGAAAAAAGGATATCTTTGATGCCATCATCCAGCCCTCCTGCCAGATGTCAAAGCTTTTCTCCAGAACATTTGATTACTACAGTTTTCTCAAAGGGAGGATGACAAGAATAAGTGTGAGCATTGCTAGTGTTGTTCTAGAGAAAAGAGCAGAGGTGCAAAATTTAAAAACAACCAACCAACCCCCCCCAAACCACCAAACAAGATCAAACCAAAACAAACAAAAAACACAAACAAACAAAACCCCCATTAATTCTTAGGCATGGAATTATGAAATTCAAGCTCTTTAACAGAAGAACATTAAATTAAAAATCCCATTATACTCTGGCTATACAGTGTTTTTGCAAGGTGATATAATGGCACTTTTCTGTCCTTACACATGTAAGGGTCAATTTTTGTGTCTTATTTTCTCCTTTAAAAAGGTGCAAAAAGAATTTGTATGCATTTAAACAAAGCTACCTAAAGAATACTTTATATTTGAAAGCTGAAAGATTGTTTCAGCACAAACTCTTAGGGACATAGTCTTGGTTCTGCAGACTTTCATTATTTGATGCTGAGCATACAACTGTCACGATGAGAAGTGACTCAAGGGAAAAACATTATTGATTACTGTCTTCCAATATGATTTAAATTTCCTGAGCTGCTGCTTTTTGGTTTGTGGTTTTTTGTGGGTTTTTTTTAATTCACTTCCTCTGGGAAGATTTCCAAAATCTAATGCATTTTCTGAAGATACATTTTTGTTGATGGGCAACAGTTTAGGTTTTCAATTTTCCCCTCCATATATCCTAGAACACAACTTCCAAACCCAGTGCTTTGTAAACTGTAGGTCTGTTCCATTGTTGTTGTAGAGTGGAGCTATCTGTGCACAGTTATTTCTCCTAGGTCTCCCTAGTTTAGTACAGGATGTTACTTTTTGTCGGAGGCTTACTTCAAGAGGTAAAACACTTGCTTTACCAGGTAGTTCATGTTCATCTATTTGCACATCTGTTTATACCTGCTTTTTTTTAACCCATGTACTTTTAACAATGTTTGTTTCAAATAGGTGAATTTGATCTGGGAAACCCTGAATTACTGATTATGGTGCAGCTTTTTTCATTAGCTGGGATCAGTAAGATCAGTCTGATCTTAAGTGTGCTATCAGACTGTATTACACATTTAAATAAGTATTAATATTTTCACAAGTAAGCAACAAAAACCATAAAAAGCTATCCCGAGATGTTTATTGTATTTTGTGAAACTCTTTGCTAAAAGAATAAGAGGTCAAATAGGCCAGAACCTTTGCTTGTTTGGTTTAATTTCTTGGGAAATAGAATTGCCTTATCAGATCCTCATGTCTCTCTGCCCGTTAGCTTGGCTGACAGTTTGACAGTGACTTTGCTGCAGAGAAGATGTTCAACAGGAAGTTTGTTTCATCAGCTGAAGGGAGCTGTAAACTGAGCTCAGGGGAATTGGGCTCACCTCAACTTGACCCACTTGTCAATGTCAGGGAGTTCAGCTGATTTATTTCCCATAATTCTAATAGCAACCTATAAAGTAGCATTCCTAAAAGGGCTGCTGTTTATATGCTTGTAGACAAGTTATGTTTTATTCTCATGAGCAACTCTTGTCCCACACAGAAGTCTTTGGAAAGCTAGAAGATTAAGTTACTTTGAATGTACTTTTTCAGAAGTGCTCTTTACAAAGAGCTTTAGGCTGCAGAGCTTCTTTTTATTTAAGTGAAAGGAAAAAAATAGGAAAATGACCACTTCAGTTGCTCAGTTACGCAAAGTCATGCAAGTATGACATCCATATTGGCAGGTAAAGAAGATGCTGTGTTGTCTTTGAAACACAGATATGTTGAACAAATTTGAGACTTAGATTTGATTCTCTACTTTGTCATGACAACAGTTCTTATTGTGCAGTTACAACTACAAACACGTTACCAGTTTTTCAGAAAAAAATCTCTACAAAGGAAGCACTGCTGGCTATTACAGCACTATTCCTTTTTTTCCTTTCCACTTCTTTTCAGATATGTGGCCTATGGGAATGCCAGTATGATGGGGAACTTAGATTGTAGTTGGCCTTTTGTCTAGTACCTTACCTAATACATATACTAGGATAATGTTTATCTGGCTGAAATGATCCTATATCTGGTCAGTGCCAGGCTTTTGTTTTTGTTTGTCCTTCCTACAGAATATTTTTACACTTCATCCCCTAAGACCCATTCTAGGATGAGCATGTCAGTGATCCAGGATCTGGTTCAGTATGAATAAGTGTATTCTGTTGCCATTTTTTCTGTTAAATTAATTTTATCTGAAACTAAAACAAAAGGAACCACTGGATCTATATTCAATTCTGAATCAGACTGGGAATTTGAGAAACTTAAGTGATGCTTGTCTGTCATATAATCATAAAATTGTTTAGGTTGGAAAAGACCTTTAAGATCATCCAGTCCAACCATTAACGTAACACTACCAAGTCCACCACTAA